CCCCTGCAATGACACGGCGCCCCCCCTAGGGGGCGCGCCCCACAGTTTGGGAACCTCTGGCTTAATGTAATGTTTTGTTTGTTGATTCTATGTTGCATGACTCTGTGTTTTCATGTTTTTATTACATAAAGCACTTTGAAACGCCCTGCTGCTGAAATGTGCTGTACAAATAAAATTTGATTGATTGATGACCTAGAAGCTAATATAAAAATACCTAAATTATAAAAAGGACTCAAATCGAATATAAATGAGTGTGTCTCATTTATACAGACTGGTAGAACAATTTCACACTGGTTCTGGGTCAATGGGTCACAAGACCTGGAAGCTATTGAAGAAAAACCCTCAATTTTGACAAAAGAATTCCTAAAAAATAAAAATTCAAAGTGAATCAAAATTCAAAAGTCAAAATGGAAAACAAATGTCTGTTCCTCATCTATAGAGACTAGCATAATTATTTCAAAGTGATTTCCGAGTTAATCCCAGCAGGAATGTTCAGTAGCTTTGTTCTGTTGCTTTCTGCTCCGGGTCCAGGTCTAACGGTTCCGAATAGAACCAGCCGGTTTAGTTTCTGTTTTTTGGTTCCTATCAGCAGCAGGTTCTGGTCCAAATGAGCGGATTCACCAGAACCTGAGCAGAGACCCTGCTGGATCAGCGCTCTTCAGTTCGGAAACAAAAAGTCCAGTTTAATTAAAAACGCCACAGCAACCTACTTCCGGTAAGCTGTCCTGCTAACAGTAGCTAGCTAAAGCAGCCAACTGGGTCGGAACCGGTCCGCTGGGTTAGAACAACGGTTCAGGACCAGGTAACTGAAGGTAACAGAGCATCTTTAGAACCACAGGAACCAGCTCCACCCCAAACAGAACCACACCACGGTTACCTGCTCGAACATCCGTCCTCTGCTCCGGCAGGTGCATCAAAACACTTCCGTTTCAGCGTCAGACTCAACGTGCACACTGATTGGTGGGTTCCTAGTGACGTAGAACCACTTTCTAAAGCGCGTTTTTCTGTATTTACACCTAAAAGTGGATCATTTTGTTCCAACTTGTGTTGTTAAAGCAGAACTGGAAATTTATACTTCAACATTTTTATTTATTTTTTATCAAAACCTTTTTTCATTCTTTTTCTTTAACAAACATTTAGAATCAAATGCTTGCCTTCTTCTTGCTGGATCCAGAATTTGGTTCTTTCAGTTTGAACATTTTGTGCAACAGGCTCCTGCGGTTTGGATGCAAAGTGATGAAACCAAGACAAAGACTTCAGAACATCTGCTCCTCTTTTAATAGTAACCTGTCTGCTGATTAGGCAGATTTAACTAAACTGGAAAATATGTTTGAAATACTTTGAAGGAATTGCTGTAACTGAAAACTGATGACCTGCCAACACTCCGGCAAGTCAAACTGCAGAGAAAGAGTCTTGCCTCGTTTCCACTGAGCAGTATGGTTCGGTTCGGTTCCATTTATAAAGTGGTCCATTGAACCGACCCAACCTACTCCATTCCTGGGCTCTGTAGGTTCACAGGTTAAAGGTCGGGTTCAGACAAAGCCACTGGCATCACAGTCCACTGTTACGACAGGAAAATGTCACCGATAGCGACAAGATGGTGAAACACTTTCTTGAACACGCTGGACCGCAAAACGACTTACAGAACCAAACCCAACAGAACCGCTGAGCGGAAACACAGCATTCAGAATCCTCCAGCCAGTCAGACAGAAACCAAGAGGAACAATCACCATCTGCTGTTCAGATCCCTGCTAATCCACCTCCTTGGCTTTTGCAGCTCCTCTTTAATAACCCATCTGTTGAAACGTTCAGGAACCAGGCAGAATCAGACCTGCGTTCTGCTCCATTATGATGTTGAACGTCCTCGCTCTCACAGATCTGCTTTAGATTTACTTTAGATTTTATTTGAGCTGTTGAAATGTCAATCGCCTGCTTCCGGTTAAATAGCTCCATTGTTGCCATGGTTACGCATTATAGCAACTGCCCAAAAGAAAAGAGCAACAGCATAGTTCTAAGTTTTGAGGCGATAAAACAAACAGAAATCTATATTTTATGAAGTCCTTCTTCTGTACGGTTTGATCTGTCTGAATCAACCTGCAGGTTCGCTCCAGATCTCTAAACTCCTCCACCGTGGCTTCCAGCCGTCATCACCAAACCAGGAGGGAGACGCTGAAACCTCCGGCCTGATCAGTTACCATGGAAACAACAACCAGAGGAGGAGTAAAATGGTGAGATGCTCTTTTTAATACAGGTGTCAAACAGCCTGGCTCCTGCCGCTCCAGGTGGAGGAGCCAGAGCTCAAACTGCCTCAGCCAGCCAGAGACCCAGAACAGGCAGAGATGCTTCTTCGGTTAGTCTGCTGCTTTCAGAGGAAATGAAACACATTTGAAGCTGTGGAAGGTGTGATGGTGGAAAAAGCTGCCCTGCAGAGACACACAGAGCTGCAGGAGCAGAGGGGGGTTGGTGTTCCTGAACAAAGCCGACACTCGCTCATGCTGCCATTACAGTTATTGAAAAACAAAACATTTCCTTAAAGTCCTTTGAGTTTTACAGTCCAATCAGAAAGGAAATCAAACCCGATGCTGCCTCCACCAAACCTGTCCAACCTGGAAGAGACAGAGAGAATCAGACCATCACATCGGTACCAACAGCAGGAATTTGGGTTATTTAGAGACTTAGAAGACAAACAATAGAATTAATGACATATTTTCTCCTTCTTATGAATTCATCACACGTCAGTTTCAAACTAACTCAGTAAATCTGTAGCTTCAAAATAAACAGCAAGTTAAATGTTTAGCTTGTAAAACTGAAGTTTGGTGGTGGCACTATCATGATGTGGGGCTGACTAATTCAAAGTAATTAAATCTTAAGGATAAGTAATAATAATCTGATCAGTAATAATCAATGCGTACAGTTCAGAAGCGTCACTGCTGCTCCTCGTTCCCGGCGCTGGGCGTCCGGTTGCGGATCTGACTCCTTAGCTGTTCGATGAGTTCGGGGTTCTGCTGCTGCATCTGCTGGGCGAACTGCTGCCCCCTGCAGGCCGAGCCACAGACTGCAGTCAACAACAGTGCCTCGGTTCAGGCCTGACTGAAGGAGCGGGAACTCACGCCTGGATGAGGCCGGACAGATCCGCGGGTCCCTGAGCTGCTGAGGCTCCGCCCACTCCTCCTCCCGCTCCAGCACCGCCGCCGACCCCCCCGCTGCCGCTGACCCCACCGCTGCCGCCGACCCCACCGCTGCCGCTGACCCCACCGCTGCCGCCGACCCCACCGCTGCCGCCGACCCCCACGCTGCCGCCGACCCCCCCGCCTCCTCCTGCTCCGCCTCCAGTCGCTCCCATGCCATATGCGCCTGACATCATCCCGGACATCCTGAGAGAAACCATGGAAACGGATCAGGGGTGGAGAGGAGGAGGAGGAGGAGGGATGAAGGTGAGAAACTTACAGCTGCTGAACCTGAGGGTTGTTCATGAGGGTCGATGCCTGCAGAGAGAGCAGCATCAGTCACACATCACAATGTTCAAGGTCAGTTCAATGACACTACCGACAGAAATTCATAAACTGATGTCATGTGAGCCAACATGGAGCTGGCTCTGTTTTCATCCTGATGAAGGCTGAAGCACTCCCATTTAGACATCTCATCCTCGTCTTCCTCACTTTAAAAGGAAACCAGTTTCAACCAGACATGACAAATATCTGAGTGTTTGTGAATCAGGAAACGGCTCTAAAGACAGTCTCAGTGGATCTTCCTGCAGCGTGTTCAGACTGATCTGGTCCAGGATCAGGATCAGGATCAGGAATATTCCCCATAGTGGATCATCCTGTTACTGGATGATAAACCTCAACGCAGCCAATCAGACCAAGCAGCTGCCATGATGGAGCAGGAAGTCCAGTGGATATTGGAGAACAGCCAGAGAAAAATGTGGATAATTTTTCTGTTAAAAAAGTTCCCAAACTGTCGCCATGGTTTCTTGGCAGTCGGCCATGTTTGTTTACTCTGAACTCACGTGTGATCTTGAGAGGTTCTGTGAGATTTCTGACATCTGAATGTCGGTGTAGTGCGACTCTACGACCAATCCTGTCCTGAGTCAGATTTATTATCGCTGATTCGGCCGGGAGGAGAAGAGTTCTCTGGTTTTTCAGACAGCAGCTGTTTTCTCCTCCTTCCCTCAGATTATGAACGCCGAGCAGCGCCATGGACCCAAGCTTCATTTATAAAACCACGATGAAATCTTTCATCCTCGTCATCATCAACAGGCTGCAGCCCTGAACTCCTTGTTTTCCACTGGAATACTGGAATTTATTTTTACTGCTTTTCTCAGTGTGTTTTTACATTTCCCTCCATCCCTGCAGTTCAGCACCGACCCACTAGCACAGCGGTGGGCAGTCCTGGCCCTGGAGGTCCGAGTCCTGCAGCTCTTAATGTCTCCCTGTCCAACACACCTGGATCCAACAGCTGAAGCTCCTCCTCAGTGCATCAGGTTCTGCTAACGACCTCAGTGTTTGACTCAGGTGTGTTGAAGTAGAGACACATCTAAAGGTTGCAGGAGACCCTCCAGGCCTTCCAGGTCCTCCAGACCTGGAGGACCTGGAAGGCCTGGAGGGCCTGGAAGGTCTCCATAGTGTGGGCTGGACCACACTACGGTCTCCTGCAAGTGTGTGTTACATTATTCTAACACACAGAGCTGTTTCCAAGAATAATTCAAACATTTCCCAATGAGTGAGTCAGAATGGCTGAACTCATCCTGTTTTTCAGATCTAAAGCTTCATAACGCTCCAGAACCCGGCCGGAACCAGCTGACCCTGTATGGTCTTCCTGTTCTCATGCATGCAGACGATCAGGTGATCATTTCTTTACTTCTGTGCGTCGGTCCGTCAGAGCTCACCATGTTCATGAAGCCGGGGTTGCTAAGCAACCCAGCCAGGTCGATTCCTCCCAGACCCGCCGACTGAAACAGAAGATGAAGAAGAATGAAGCAGAGACAGAACCGGCCCAGGTCGGACTCGGTCCGGTTCCTCTTACCGGGCTGGACGTCTCCATCTTCTCCTCGGCGATCTTCATGTTGGTTTTGTAGGTGTCGTTATCCGGGTCGAGCTCCAGAGCCTTCCTGTAGTAACCCACTGCCTCCGTGTGCTTATTGAGGCTGGCCAGCGCCAAACTGACACCAGAACCAGAACCAGAGAGAGAGGGGCAAGTCAGGAGGAAGAAACAGGGCAGAGAGGCGGAGCTCCAAACTGAGCAGAAATTATCTGAAACATCTGAATGTTTGGACGGATCAAAGTGGTTCTGAGTTCTACTGGCTTCAACCAACCAGAGTTTCCTCCAGTGGATCATCAGCCTGATGGGCTGCCAGGCTTTACTTGCCCCCTGCCAGGCTTTACTGGTCTCTGTCTGTGCTGCAACTTGATCAAGTTTATACAAATGAGCCACAAACCCAGCCAATCACAGACAGTTGTTATTCCTCAATAATACTGAATTCAACTGAATAAATAACCAGAAAATCTAAATCTGGCCCTAAGCTGCTGACATTATTGAACAAATAAAACTAATACAAGAAATAATTTTGAACCCAATGAATATTGAGTTAAGCATACAAACACTTATTGTCAATTTTAGGTCATTTTTCGTTAAATTTATTTTATTTTTAAATGTGACTATGGCCATCCTCCGGAGTCATGGGGCCTGAAGTGGAATATAACTCACACAGCGCTCTTCCTGCTAAAGTATCAGCACCACTAAGAGTCTCAACAGAGATTTGGTGGAACCTGGGAAAAGGGGCGGGGCTTAATTATTCAAACTTAAAACCAATCAGGGATAATTGGTCATTATGTGCCGGGTGTATCCGTGAACAAACCGAGCTCAAACAGAAAGATTCACCTCATAGCATCAGATTGTTGTCATGAGATTTAGTTTTTGCACTTTTACAAAGTAAACTGTCCTTTAAATCTTAATATTAATGAAGATGTTTCTGTTGGTCTCACCCCATCCGGCCGTACGCCTTGCTGTAGTTTGGGTCGATCCTGATGGCCCGCTCACAGTCCTGCACGGCGCCGGCGTAGTTCCCCAGCTTGCTGTACGCTGCAGCCCTGAAACCACAGCAGGACATGGGTCAGAACCGGCGGCTGGAGTTCCAGCTGGACCGGGTTCTGGCCCACCTGTTGCAGTAGTAGACGGCGTTCTGAGGGTTCAGGGCGATGGCCTTGGAGTAGAACTCCACGGCTGCTGCAAAGTTTTCCACCTTCATCTGGTCGTTCCCTGCAGAGCAGAAAACACAAGAAAACAGATCCACATGAGACAGATCCTCCAGAACCAGAACCACAATCTGAACCTGAACCCACCGTCAGTTTTCAGCCGCTCCGCCTCGGCTTTCTGCTCTTCTGTTGGAGAACTCGGCGCCGTGTTGTTGTTGGCATGGGACTCGGCTGGGAACTGGAAGACACAGAACCATCAGAACCATCAGGTTCCTCTGGACTTCCTCCGGCAGCAGGAACTGACCTTGGCCGTGGCCGAGGCGAAGATCTCTGGTAGCGTCATGGGAACAGCCAGACTCTGGTCGTCCGTGGAAACGTCAAAAGCCGTCTCCAGAC